TGGTGTTGTTGTTGTTGTGGTTGTGGTTGTGGTTGTGGTTGTGGTTGTCGTCGTCGTCGTCGTCGTTGTCGTCGTTGTCGCCGTTGTCGTCGTTGTCGTCGTTGTCGTCGTTGTCGTCGTTGTTGTTGCTGCTGCTGCTGGTGCTGCTGTTGTTGTTGTTGTTGTTGTTGTTGTTGTTGTTGTTGTTGTTGTTGTGGTGGTGGTGGTGGTGGTGGTGGTGGTGGTGGTGGTGGTGGTGGTGGTGGGTGGTTGTTGTTGTTGCTGTTGCTGTTGCTGTTACTGTGGCAGTTTCGGTTGCGGTTGCTGTTGCTGTTGCTGTTGCTGTTGCTGTTGCTGGTGCTGGTGCTGTTGCTGTTGCTGTGGCTGTGGCTGTGGCTGTGGCTGTGGCTGTGGCTGTGGCTGTGGCTGTGGCTGCGGCTGTGGCTGTGGCTGTGTGGTGGTGGTGGTTGTGCTTGTTGTTGTTGTTGTTGTTGTTGTTGTTGTTGTGGTGGTGGTGGTGGTGGTGGTGGTGGTGGTTGTTGTTGTTGTTGTTGTTGTGGTTGTTGTTGTGGTTGTGGTTGTGGTTGTGGTTGTGGTTGTGGTTGTGGTGGTCGTGGTCGTGGTCGTGGTCGTGGTCGTGGTCGTGGTCGTGGTCGTCGTCGTCGTTGTCGTTGTCGTTGTCGTTGTCGTTGTCGTTGTCGTGGTCGTGGTCGTCGTCGTCGTTGTCGTTGTCGTCGTCGTCGTCGTTGTTGTTGTTGTTGCTGTTGTTGCTCCTGAGCCTCTGCGCTCCTGAGCCTCCGCGCTCCTGAGCCTCCGCGCTCCTGAGCCTCTGCGCTCCTGAGCCTCTGCGCTCCTGAGCCGGAAACGGGAAACCGGGAAACCGGGAACCGCGAACCAGACAGAAAACCGGGGAAGCTGGGAATCTGGGAAACCGGGAAACCGGGAAACCGCGAACCGGGCGTCAACCGAGCGCCTCTTGCGTGACGCCTGGATCCAATATGCGAGCGCCAGGCTTCTAGGCGAAGCCTGCCTCGCAATTGATTGGCACGTGGAACCCAAGGGCTTGGAAAAATGGTCCCGCTCAGTAATGCAGGTTGTGGCGCGCTGCTTTCAGGAGCGGTGGCTGCTGGGCCACTCCTGCATTGAGTGCTCCAGCAACATGCTTGTGCTTGAGGGGAATGCGAAAATCCGCACGCGTTGCAGGCCCATTGCTTGACCGGCTGCCAGTCCTCGCCCATCCCAGGCCGGCGTTTTTGCAGCACTCACTTGTTAGATAGCGAGCCTCTGCTGGGGTCCGACATAATATTTTGCAAATCTAGTCGCGTTTACTCGGCACCCTTCTTCCATTCAGCCAGACTGCTCCGCTGCCGGCAGCCTGGCTCCTCTCATCGTGACCTGCAAAAGGGCATGCCGCGCACTTCGGTTTTTTTTACGTCAAGGCTGACTACTCGGTCAAGCTTGTTCGGGTGAGAAAAGTGGCTCGATCTCGGCAGTGCACCTTCTCAACTGCCTCGGGGAGACAGAGACACTTCAGCCTGCTCAGCCATGACGTTCCACTGCGCTTTCAAGTTCAGAAGCACGCAAGTGTCAAGTTATGCCGCGTGTTGGCGAAAGGATGACTTTCTCCGAGGAAGCGCCGAGGCGAAGCTGCCGTGCCCAGTGAGATCAATGCGCGCGCCCGGCGAAGCGGTGGGTTGCTTGCCGCTGTCAGGCCTTGCCAAATTAAATTGTGTGCGCCTTCAAGCTCCTTTACACGCATGAATCCCTGACAGGCGTGTATTTCTTTTTGGCTGAGCTGTTGGACTTCTTAGCACGCGCGAAGTCAGTTGATTTGAGCGCTTTGAGCAAGAGCGAGAAGAAGGAGTTCGTCCGGGCCAGCCTTCCACGTGTGTGGTATGATTGCGCTTGCACCCTATAAATGCGATACATATGCGCGCGCAAAAGACGGACCCGAACACCCAGGAGCCGTGCCTTGCGACATTTGAAGCTATCAATTGATAAGTTCCACTTCCGCAAGGGGCACCAAGGCTGTCGACCCGGCGGTGCGAGGCCCCTCACGTTTGTCTGGCCGCACGACAGCTGCCGTGTGAACGACAGTGCAGCCGAGCAAGCTTTCGCCTTCGTACGAAAGATTGTTGCGCCCGCCCGTCGCATGGCGCCTACCAAAGGCTTGTGCTTTTCGCAACCTTGGTGCAGCATGCGCGTAATCTGTGGCTGGAGGAAAGCCAGCAGCAGCAGCGAAAGCGGAAGCTGCAAGTGCAACACGCTTTCCATCAGCGAAGGCGATTCCGCGAGTAGTCTGAAGCCTGGCCGTTTGCGGTGCCCCGCCACAAGCCGTGACACGCCCTGATCCGAGTGCTACCATCATCCGTGAGATCTGCATGGCCAAAGTGCTTCATTAAACCAAAACTTAGCCTCTATAAATAGGGGGGTCTGTCGTTTTTGCCGTACCCGAAAAAATCAAGCTTTCTGGTTGGCCTGGCCCTTAATAGAAAGAGTCCGTAAATAATATGGTAAATAGTGAGGTAAATAGTTGTAGTTCATTTTCGCTTGCCCGATCTTGAGTGACCATGAGTGAGCTGGACTCAGTGTCCCTCATGGACAGGGATATGTATTGACGAAAATCTTCCCCTTCGCGAATTTTACCTGCTCATATCACTGAAGGAAGGCAAAGCATCATCAGTCATGAACCATTGGAAGAGCCGCGACATCTTTGACATGAATGTTCATGCGTGCTGGTAGCTGCGAGCCACATTTCTTTTGCTCGCGAGCATGTGTGTCGTTGGCGAAGCCAAAAAGCTCCGGACGCACAAGCACGTGCGCCCATGCTTGCGCTTGGGTTGCGTTGCCATGCTAACACCCGGCAGCCAGAACCCCCACCAAGATACATGTGTGTTTAGTGATCATGAGAAAGGAGATGCTGTAGGAACCGAGGACTAGGAAGACTGCGTCTTGTCATAGAACGTCCGGTATGTCCGGTCATTGGTTGTGTCAGCTGCGTGAACAACATTAAGAATATTTGAGGGCTCTTTCCAACAATCAAGACTTAGTCAGCTT